GGGGGGGAGCGTGTGGGTCTGGGGCAGACCCTGGCCAGGGCTTCCCACTCTGGCGGTCTTCCAAAAGGAGCTCAGGGTTTCATGGATAATGAGTTGGGGAGGATGTGTGTGTGGATGATGTCAGCTTAACCCAGGAGCCGCTGGCGTGGTTGGACTTCCCTGCCAGAATGAGTGTGGTGGGATGAGCCACATTGGCTTCCCCGGAGCACGCGGCACATGCTGGAGGATGAGGAGGGGGAGAGGTGGCTGTACAGCTCCTGACCCTTCGGCCCGGCGCTCCGGAGCGGTGGCAGCTCCAGCCGGTGTCTGGCCCTCTCTGCAGGGGATGGGAGAAGCGCAGCCCCAGCTTCTTGCCAGGGTTTCCCAGCAGGGTTTGCTGCTGGATTTGGGGTTTCACGATTGGGAGCGTTCCTGGGACAGTGGGAATGTGGGTCTCTGATCCCTGGTGCGTGGCCAGCTCAGGGACCAGCAACTCCCACTCCTTCCCAGAGCGGTCCCGTGTTTGTCATGGAGAGCAGAGCACCCCAGGGCAGGTGCTTGCCCAGGGAGCGATGTCTTTGAGGGACATCCTCCGAGCCTGGTCCCCATCTGCTCCTTGGACCAGCGCAGTCCTTCCAGCTGCCAACGCCGCTTGGAACCGGCTGAAGGAGAAAATGGTCCAAAACCCTGTGGGTTTCTGGTGGGAGTTAATACAGACAAACACCTCTTTCCACAGAACATTCCACTGGTGTCTCTCAGACTTATTCAATCCCTCTTTGAGTGTCTTGTTATCTCAAAAGTGGCTGGAGCTCTACCACAGCGGGGCTGGGCAGAGCAGACCGGGGCTCTCCCGGCTGTTGCTTTCCCTTGTCTTGCCAGAATAAAGTCCTGCTCCGAAGAGAGTGGTGCAACTTCACTCTCTGCTGTCTAAATCCCATTTAGATCATCTCCATATCTCCCTTTCCTTTCCAAATGCATTGGCTCTCAGCCCCGGCATCCCTGGGTCCCGATGCACTTTGGTCTGTTCGTGTGACCCTCCAAGTGGCACCTGAACGGGCACAGCCCACGGCCCCCACCCCTCACTGTGCTTCCTCCCCTCCTCTCCGCAGGGTCTCGACGACTACGGGACGAGATCCGTCAGCAGGTAAGGCTTCACCTTCCCGTCACGTTACCCGAAAGTGAACTGTTGGTGTTGGCTCTGGGTGAAGCCATGGTGCCGTGGCCCCGCAGCGTGTCCCTGCGTGGGCTCCCTGGGGGACAGGCGGTGGCTGGGGTGGGGCCGCGTGGAGGAGGACGCGGCGCAGGTCTCGTCTGCGAGTGCGGAGGGA